GTTTTTGCTTCTCCTGTAAAGTTACGATTTTGGAGATATGAGGTTTTGTTCTGACAACAGTGATATGTTAATATGTCACTTATAGCTTTGTTTTGAACACTTTTCCAATGAAGCCATTATTTTTTAAATATTATTTATCACACATCATTCCAAGTAATTCATTTTAATGATGTTCTGCATAGATTTTATGTAAATATGGTAAACATTTTGTATTTTTATTCTTAAAAGCAGAATGATAAATAGTTTTTGCCCTTTTAACTTTAAATCACTTTTTAATCACAAAGTCATTCCCTTACTGCCCCATCTTCAGATTCTGTGCCTAACTGAGCCTCCCATCAAAATCATCTGGACATGCCACTGACTTGGTCATAACCTTACATTTATCTGTAAATCAGCTCTATTGCATGTGATATCACCCAAAATCAGAGGAATTCAAACATCCCAGACATGCATTGTGAACTTATATGTTTTCAGAAAACTTAAAAACGAGACTAAAGTGTTTTGATGTTCTACAGTGAAAGGGTGCCAAAAAATAACCTACTGTCAGTTCCTGGGCATTTGATGGTCAGCACAGCTTGGGAAGATCCATAAATTGAAACTTTTGCCAGCAAACAACAGCTTCATCACACTGTTGACTATCTATAGATAGTTTATAGAGGGCTATAGTGTAGTATCCAAAACACAGAGGTCGTTTTTGGACCAAAACACAGACTCAGATGTGTGGAGAATGTAAATTGAACACAAGTAATATTAAATATATAACAGAGTAATTAACTGTATAAATCTGTAGTTAGATTTGAATATAGCAAAACGACAGTAATTCTTGACTTCTAAGGGCTAATGGACTGAAGACTATGTATGTAGCTTTACAGTCCTATGATAACAGACTATGTTTCATAGCATACAAAATTGAAAATGTAGAGTAAATCGTAAAAAGTGATATTTCATCTTCAAAATTCAAGAATTTAAATTTAACCCCCCCTCCCCCCGACCCTAACCTCCACCTCCACTGTTTAGATGGAAATCCAGTCTTGGCTCCCTTGGTGCTGTGTTATTGCTGATGTGAAGTGTTTTCAGCCCTTGTTTGGAGAAGAAGGTCCTCCCTGAAGGAGATATTGGCATCCGTGAGATGTACGAGAAGGGACATCCTTTAGGGACATGTCCTTTAGCACTGACTGACTTATAAGGGACGTCTTTCTTCAGGAGTCCTTAATTACTGATAAGACAGCAGCTCCTTCAGCACATTATTGAACAGCGTCAGCCTCCTGACCATGAGTCCACTCGTCTTTTATTGGCAGGTTGCACCTCACTTACTAAGAAAGGGTTTCGTCAAAGGACGCGAAAGTACGAAGCTATCGCAATCAGTCCATTTTTCAAGAAAGACTTCGATCTTGTGTCTAGCAATAAGAATCAAACTTGTAGTAAGAGGAACTAATTGTGAGTCAGAATCTGAAAGAAAGAGCACACTGCAGATACCGCGTTATGTATATGACATACTTATCTATATGCATGAACTTGGATTACATAAGCAGAAGAAAAACAACTATTCCCATGTTGGTAGACCAGAATAGTGAGGCTCTAATATTATTCAGCACCATTCCTTGATCTGCCTCTTTCGCGCCATGAAATCTCACTGTAACTGTTCCTAAATTAGCCGCCGATTCTCTGGACAGACGCTTCTGTCCCTGAGAGTGAACAAGGGTTTGAAACAATGTGTAGGGTTTAGGGAACGTCTCAGGTCGTGGAGTCGAGTAGTATGTAGCAAACATGAGTTTTCAGGGCAGTTGCCTTAAAAATCTTCAAATATTTTCAATGGTAGAGCTATATTTAATGGATTGTAATGTATAATGTAAAGAAATGCATATCAGTTTATATAAACCTACCAATGTTACTAATATTACACTCTCTAATGCACAAAAGATCATGAAATTACAAGAAGCAGTGTCTAGAGAAGGTAAGTGTACCTTTTAAAACACACTGAAAAGGTGAACCATGGAGGTCTGAATGTATGCCAACATTAAGGACATTGACACGTCCATACATTACTGTGCAAATGTCAGAGACCATCCTTAATTATAAAAGTATGAGTAATTCATTTTTCAATGTCAAAAAAAGCAGAAAACTAGAAGCCTTAATAACTAAATATAATATCACATTTTTCAGTGTTTAGTATCAGTATTTTGTATTTCAGTATTTTGTATTTACAACTATTGTTTATTATTGCCAGGACTTCATAATATTTAACACTCAATTAATTTTACAGTAAAATGCCATATTCATAATTTTATTGTGAAATCAGCTCTTAAGTGAATCTTACGAGATTTTCCATACCAAAAAAGCTAATTACTATTAAGTTTACATTGAGCTGCATCACACAGCATTATGGCATTTAAAAATGGCACACACATTATAATAAAAACATTTTAAGTGTTCTTATTCTGATTTATTTATGTATTTATTTAATCATTTATTTATTTGCAATTGTTACATTTTATTTATTTTAACATATTCAACATATTTCTCTGATAAAATTAAAAGTCTTTTTTTATAGGTAAATTTACAGTAAATTACTGTAATTACTGAACCAAATTTTCTTGTCTTTTTTCCACATTTTTTTAGGATTTTATCTCCAGAGAAATATGTCCTGAAACACTAATAACTTAGTGATCTTTTGACTGAACATTAAATAAATGAAGATTGGTCTTTGACTTACACAGTACTGTATATAGTCAATTTGATTGAAAGGAAATGTGTGTCACAATCAAATTAAGTTTATATGATTCTTTTTTTGAGTGTATAACTAACACATTTTCATAAATCACAACTCAACTGACCTGTTAAATGGTCAGCACTTATATACATCAATGAAACAGGTTTATGATTTGAAAGCTGAAGCTGAGAATAGGCTCCTGGATAAATGATGGCCTTAATGAGACATAAACCCTTCCACTTAAATCACTAGCAGAAAATATTTATAGAGACGTCAGTCACTGTAAAAGAACCTGCCTCCACTAAAATAGCTTTACTGTCAAAAAATGAAAAGAAGTATGAAAAGCTGGGATCTAAATAGGACAAGGCGAATCAAATCAGAGTAAAATGGAGGGGTAGGAGAAGAAGAAAAGAGAGGAAAAGATGGTGGCTTATGGGTTTCAGCATCTTCTCAGCCGTGCCTGTATAATGATGCTGAAAGCAGCTGGCTGTTTATTGATAAGGAGCTGAGAAAAGCCCATCGTTCTGCCCTGCTTTTCATTCTGTGGCTCTCTGGCTGAGTTAATCACCTCTCTGCCGGCCAGCCATGGCGCTTGGCTTTATCTCCGAAAGCCCTGGAGGCTCAGGGAGGCGCTCTGTGGCCTTTCACTGAGGCCAGGCCTGCAGTTCTCCTGGCCCTCTTCAGAGGCTTGCTGGAGCCAATCGCTCCAATACCTGGCTCACTGTAACAAACCAGCTGTGCCATTGTGTCAGAAGCTTTGTCCTTTGTTGAAGAAATGCGTCCCGTCACACTTCAATGATGGTTACGGATGGCGACCGCTTGGCATTGGTGTTGTTTTTGGGGCACTGCTATTAAAAAATTACAAAAAGAGAAGACATATGTGTTTAAGCCTAGAAAGAGAACAGGTAGATGACAAAAGGAATGAATTTGATTATGGAGAATGTATTTGTGCTTAATGGGAGTCTTAGTAGCCTTGGCACAGCAATAAATGAGATCGAGTCTGACAATAACCATTTTATACCCTTCATAACTTCCTGCAAAATGTCCTTCAACACAATGAATCCCATAAGAATGTTATTTGTGGTGTTGTTTGAATGAATATCAATTAGAGCCCAGCGGATAGTCTCATAGATACTGAGATTAAATTTCTGATAACCAAAAACAATGGACACTATTTTTATGTGGTCAAAATTTAAAGGGGCATTCCTGCCTAAACCTCAAATTCAATGCTATTTGTGTTTGTATTTGTGTATATTGTGTTATTCACTATTCTGTTCTGCAGCATTGCATCCCTCAGCCCTATTGATTTGACAAAATTTATGATGTGATGGCAACCAATCGCTGGAATCCAAATATTGGTCAAATTCATCACCCAAATGATGTAGCAGTCAGGCCCTAATATCTAACCCAGGAGTCTGTAACCCAAATGTTAAGAAGAGCCATTTTGTTGTTTTCAGCAAAAATCAAACCACCTTGGGAGCCACAATATTTTCTGTCCGTTTTACCATTTTGGCTGTAAATATGTCTCAGTATGTGTTATTATAGGCTAACTAATTGTTTATAAATCAAAACACAGACTTACTTTAAGCCTTAGCTCAGCTATAGCCTCTTTTCTTGCATCTCTGGCAGGAAACTTTTCCTCAAAGTGGGATAGTTTCTTCTAAAACGAGAAGCTGGTGAACGAGAAGCTGACTTCAGCTTCAAGTGTTTGACAGTTTCTCACTGCAGATTAAACGTATCAGGAAACCAGCCGAGTGTTAATACGTGTAATAAGTCTGTTTATCTCCAAATTATCCATTCTCTTTGCCATTAGCTACTAGCTAGGCGAGATTGTTCTCTGTGTTACTATGTGACCAGCAGTCCGTGAGCCGACTTTCAGGGTTGAAATGTTAATTAGCAGTTCTACATTAACTCCAGCATTTAAGACCATTTAGCGTTAAAACTGATGTTGAACAATCAGCAGAGCTTTATTTTACTGTAAAGGAGGATTATTTTATTTTTACCTACAAATCTAATTCAGCTGTGGAGCCACAACAGGACAGTAAAAGAGCTGCATGTTGCCGACCCCTAATCTAGTAAAATAGTGTGCTAAAAGTTATTAAAACACTGGGCAATGAAATGGATTGTATACATTATAAATAAGTCTAGTTAGTTGAGATTATTCAAACCATATTTTCTACTGTACTCAAATTTAAATTGAGCTTTTCCCTCAGAATGGCCCAATGGAACTGCAATGAAAATGAGATTTGAGATTTGACAGATTTTGCAGGAACGATTCACCTGCCTGATGTCCTCTGAGCTCTTGAGGGGGGGGGGAGAGGAGGTGCGATTATACCTTGCTCCGCAACAGCCCACCACTCGGGTGCTCAGGGGTACTACACTCTGAGGAATTCTTGGCTTTATCTTTGTTGTTGTTGGGCTCGTTGTCTTTGATTATGTCGTACTGACGACAGAAGAGGGCAATCACGCCTGAGAAATAAAGACAAAGATAACTATAAGAAAAAATAAAATCAGAAAACTGAAAACAAAATTGTATTCCACAAACACATCAATATTGTTGTATATTGTTATAATATGAAGAAAATCTTGCACTACATATTTTTTCATTCATATTTCATTCAGTCGCTCAACTGACGGTGACCTTAATCTTGACGATGTCTTATAAAACATTCATGCTTACAAAAAATAGCAGATTTATTCCCAAGTCTGAATGAGAGGACACATGTCTACTTAATTCTATTTACCTGTATTTAACCTCCACTATGTCCAGTTAACCTGGCCATGTTTACTTCTGCCAAGTTAACCTAACCCTATTTGTCCATGTCCAGTTAAAACTTTATCTATCTGGATCCAGTGAAAATCCATCCTGTTCACATGAACCTGATTAACCATGTTCTATTAATCTGTGTTGAGTTAACCTCACCCGTATTTAACAGTGTCCAGATAACCCAACCTATTTACCTGCATTTAACTATCAACCCTCTATTTACATGTGTCCATGTATCTCTGCCCTGTTTAACTGCAATCAAGCCCACTCCTGCTTCCCATGTCCATTTAACTCCTCCCTACTTACGTCAGATCAACCAGATTTTTCCTTTGGTAATTCACTTACTGACACTGCTACAGTGGTTTGTTCAGAGTAGAATTGTCGCAGTCATTACCTGCCCACATTATTAGCACCACCACAATGATGATGAGCTCCCCTGCCCTGAGTTGAGTGGTCTGGCCCACTTCTTCCATGGTGACTTCGTCTGACAAAATAAATGGCAAACATGAGTTTATGATGACTGTATACTCCTATGTTCAGCAAATGACTGTGTGAATACAGCAACCAACAAATTTTAATGTTGAGATCTAAAATCATATTGTTAAAATTTTTGACACCATTAAAGTTATTGCAACAATGAAGAGTTCCCATAAATTTGGAAAGTGCAATTTCTCAAAGTTTATTACTTTCTTAAAAAGGAGCTTTTTCAAGGGTTCTGAAGGCAGTGGCTGTGTATAGAACGATGACAAGTTAAAGAACCACTTAAATGGTCAAACAGTCCTTTGCAGTTCAAAAAATGGTTCTTTTTATGCGTTCCATTTTAATATTGCTTCAGTTGCCATCCACAAAGGTCAGTTGCTGTTATTATTATTATTATTATTATTATTATTATTGACTTGGTATAATTTCTATAATCTCGATGATGGAGAACCCATTGTGTATGATTCTTTAACGAACCAATGAAAAAGGCTCTATATTGCACCAATGGGTTTTTTTATTGTTCCAGTTCTTTACACCCTTAAAACCTTAGTTGGTTCTGCAAGGTTTCTTTATTAAAGGTATGGTTATACATGGAACCATGACTCAAAAAAAAAAATTGAATGCATAAATGCTTCTTTGCACAATTAACTGGTTAGTTTCTGGGTATATGGTTCTTTGAAGAACTTTTCCAAAAAATGGTTCTATTTTACACCAAAAAAGATTTTGCTCTTTTGCATTTAGGTATTATTTACACTCTTAAAACAGGGTTCTGCCAAAAAAAGCTCTTTGTACATTGCCAGGAATTAACCACTTTTGGTTCTCTTTCAATGAAATTCGTAAGTGTGAAGTGTAAAGAAAATTTTAAGGTACTTCCACATGATGTAAACATTCAAGCAAAAGCCCTTAAACTTGTATAGACCTTTACATTATGTGTAGGTTGTTTAAACCTTTGGAATTAAATGTTGTTCTTTAAAGAACCCTTTTTTAAGAACATCAAACCTTTTGCCTGCGAGTCACTGTTTTGTAAAGCCTAATGTTGCTATTATGAATTTTGAATGATTGTGAATTCTGCGCTACACCGTCTGCCCCAGAGAGACTCAGAATCAGAGTCTAGAATTGCTTCGGGAGATGCTGCCTGGGTTCAGTGGGTTTTAAAGAATCTCTTAAAGAACCTTTTAAAATTCCAGGTAAGTAGAGACAAGAGGACAATAGCTTTGGGAGGAAACCTACAGAATCCCCAATTAGCCTTCCACTGGGCTTGCTAACAGACAGAATGAAGTGTCCAACAAATACCAAATATCAGATCAGAGGTATTGATTCTGAGAGCGTTTCAGAGCAGGAGCCGGTCACAGCATGCTAATCAACTGAATCAGCTGGGCTTCAAACAAACTGTGTTTCTCAATATGCCCCCAGATAGCTTTAGCGTTAAAGCAACAACACTTCAGTAAGGTTTGTAATCCTTTCCAGATCTGGAAACTGATACAGTATCAGATGTGTTCTAATATTATAATAAAACTGGTTTACGTTTGGGCTTATGGTACATCATATGTCCAAAAATAGACACCTGCTCAATAAACGTTTCTTCTGAAGGGTACTGGTAAGTTTCTCTTGCTTTGCTGCAGTAACAGCCTCTGCTTTTCTGGGAGGGCTTTACATTAGATGTTGGAACATTGCGGTGAGGATTTGATTGAGCATTAGTGAGGTCAGGTACTGATGTTGGGCAGCTCTGAATCACTCCAACTCATCCCAAAGGTATTAGATGAAGCTCATTGAATGACTCCAGAAAAACACAGTTCCACTGCTCCACAGCCAAATGCTGGGGGAGGGAGGTTTTATACCCCTCTAGCTGATGCTTGGCTTTGGGCATGGTGACCTTAAGCTACAGCTGCTCTCATTCTATGGCAATACTTTTCTATGAAAATTCTCAGGTGTCAATTATAGTGTGACTGCACTGCTGATATTGATGAGCACTGAGATCCCAGTCTCTCATCTTTGAGTTATATTAAGGCTGTTTACTCTTCACTGAGAATTGTGTTTGATGTGCGATATCTGGTACATGTACCTTTACTCTTAGAGGCCTGTCTCTCGGCTTCTTTCGGCGTCCTGAAGCGCAGCGGCTCGCTGGGTGGACTGGTCCCACGCACACTGATAGACTGCACATGCACAATGTAGTCCGTGTCTGCCTCCAAATCCCATAATGCACAGCTGCGAGTGGTCGTGTTCACCTCCTGTATGAAGCGTAACATGCGCACATCCTTCTTCTGTTTGAAGGAGGAGGTGCAAAAGTCACTGCAGTTAATTATATGAATACTAATAATAATTTAATATTAATAGCATGTTTCATACATAAAAATGCTGCTCAAGGTGCTTCACAAAAAGTGCATAAACAAAAACAGAAAGTGTGTTTACATATATAAACACACCATAATCAAAGCCTGTGAAAGAAAACTGACCTTGAAAAATGTGTTTAATTTGAACAATACATGTTTTTACACTCTAAATATACCTTAATACATGCTACTCTTGGCACACTGAGTGTGCTTAGACTGAAATTAAGCTTTAATTGAATACATATTAAATGCATTTTGTTGTACTTTTGCTCTTAAGTAGTTTTATGTATAGAATTTGTAGACATAACTGTCATAACACTCTCAATATAGATGGTAAATATACTGCTGTACATACTGCTACACTACAGTGCTACTAATTAAGCTATACTGAAACAAACATGCACTTAAATTAGATTTCAATATCACTGAATACCTTTCATCGACCAAAACATGCATATTTTTGTGAAACATAATAAAGAATAGACTTAAATATATTATTAGGGACAACTAAACACAACTTATACATACTTAAATTCTGTTTATGTAATGTTAAAATGTTCTCTGCCTATAATTGCTGTAAATTAGAAAAACGTACAACGTTCAAAACGTACTTTAAAAGTCCATGTTTTTATATATACTTCTAAATAATATGATTAATGTCAGTTGTCAGTTAAATATATTGTATTAAAAGAAATACATTATAATACAAATTTTGTGTGTTAAGAAATACATTTTTCTGTCCTGGCCCCCAGGTGGTGGAATGAACTCCCATTGGCTGTCCTAACAGCAGACTCTCTCATGGTCTTCAAATGCAGACTCTCTTTTTGCAGCACTGAAGTGAGCACTAAGTTAAGTACTCATTGAAATATGTTGTATTGCGCTGTGTTTAATTCTCTTTCTTTTCCCTGGGTATCAACAGAGGCTTCTGTTTCTAGCAGTATCTGAGCTCAGGACTGGCTTTCTCTCTAACCTATTTGTAACTAGCAAAGATATTTTCTGTGTAGACAACAAAGCAATTTTGTAATTCGCTCTGGATAAGAGTGTCTGCTAAATGCTGTAAATGTAAATGTTAATGTAAATACATTTATTCAAGTGTTTGTTCCTCCCAGCATACTTAAGTACAATTCTAAATGTGTTTCTTTAAAAACATATTTTCAAAAATGCACAAATATATCTGTCCTGTGTTGCTGCCACATTTATTTTAGGTTAGTTAGTTGGTTTGTACAAAAAACTCAAAGGAGCTCAAAGTCAGGCTGAGCTGAGATGTTTTAGCTACAACAGCTGCTCTCAACTTCCTCTCCAAGTATAAAATAAAGTTTTTCAGAGTCAGAAAAAAAGAGAATGAATTATTAATGTTTGCACATTTTTCAAAGGATGTCTCTCATTCACTGAACAAAAGAGAGCAAAAGAGAAAGAAAAAAGTGATTCATCATTTATTTCTGTTAAACTGAACTGTCTATCTAGCTTTTCCTCTCCTTCCATGGTTTCGACTGTCTTTCCTATATTTTTCTGTGTTTTCTTAAAACTGTTCTTTGAAAAACAAACGTTCCTAAATAGTTCTAGGTATGGATGTACTGTTCTAAGAAAAACATTTTATTTCAGACTATGCAGAGGTTCTTTAAAGTTTTTTGTGCTTTTCCTTTTTTTTCCATATAACTTATGGTTTGGTCTTCTTAATTTAATTTTGACAGAAAAAGATAAATAATAAGAAAAATAATAAGAAAAAAATTCTAACAAAACCAAGAGTGTTGTTTCATACTTGGACCCCTAAATATAGCCCCAAGTGGCAATATGAGAGATCCAAGCACTATTTTGCAGGTAGGTCCAACTTAGCAATTATCATAGTGCCCCATTTAGACCCATGTCTATTTTTCAAAATTATGCAGTGAGTACTGCCAGTATTTCATTGATCTTATTTCTTCTCTCTCTTCTCCCTCTATCACACCCCATACCTGCTGGGTGATGGCGAATCCAATGACAGGCTCTGCATCTGGGATGTCCCATGTCACTGCAGCAGAGTTAGCCTTCAGATCCCTAATGGACACATTTACAGGAGGAGCTAAACTGTCTTCAGACAGACAAAGAGAGGGAGAAAGACGGGGCAAAAAGAAACAAAAACATTACAACAAATGCAAATAAACAATATATTGTGATTTGATGTGTGATGGGTGTACGTGTTTGAAATGCTGCCTCTACAGTACTTTGCAAAAGTCAGAGACCAGCTTAGTTTATTTGATGTCCAGTTAACAGAAACTAAAGATCATTGAGTAAAACTTATTTATTCTTCAGGTAATATTTGCAGAGGAGAAAAAAATGGAGAAATACAGAGAAAATAGGACTCTTAACAACCATGCAAGACCTGGCAGAAAATCAAGCTGCTTCAGATCTGAAAAAATCCACTTCCATCCTTCCACTGTGAGAAGACGACTCAGGGCTATGGGTCTGAAAGGATGTGTAGCTGTCAAGAACCTCACTGAGAAAAGGAGACGGAGTCCAGACCTCAACATCACTGAATGTGTTTGATTACTTCAGAAAATGATCAACCAGCTTCTAAGACTGAACTTTGGAGGCGTGTCTGCAGATTTCTTCGAAACACTGAAAGTGAGTCTCCTGAAAAGAATGGAAGCAGTAATAAAGGTAAAGAGTGACACACTAAATACTCTTGACTGATATTTTATATTTAGTTGTTACGTGCAATGTTCTGATAAATATGATTATTGCTTTTTATCCTAAAGCTGAAAAATGAATAACTGGTACTTGATGAGGCCCTAAATGAAGCGTGGTCACATATAGGAAAACTGAAATAAGTTCAGAAGAACAGGCTGCGACGATGATGAAGATGATGATGGTGATGACGAGTGGTGTGTTTTTGAACTCTCTCTGTTCTCTCTGTCAGTCCAGAGACGTGCGTGTTGTGTGTTGTCAGCTTTCAGCTGATTTCATGCTTTGATGGTTGAGGGCGATTTCAGCGCCAAAGACGATGTGTGTTTCATCTTCTGAGTGTGTGACATGTTGTCAGGTACAAGAGTGCTGCTCAAGAAGAAAGACATTTCAAAACAAAGAGAGAGAGAGAGAGAGAGAGAGAGAGAGAGCTGCCTTTGCTGTTGTATTAACTGAAGGCTGCTCTGGGGGAAAGTGGTAAATTCAGTAAGAGCAGAAGGCCGTAGGTGTGTTGCTGAGCTTTATGCTGACACAAGCTTTTTTCTTCTGTGGAGTAAGAGGCCATATGGGACACATAGTACTAAACACACAACACATACATTATAACCAAACAAACAAGAAAAACTCCTATTAGCAGCCCAGAGGGGGGAGAGAGAGAGAGAGAGAGAGAGAGAGAGAGAGAGAGAGAGAGAGAGAGAGCGGGGGGGTGCTATTGTAATGTAGTATAGAAAAGCAGAGATTTTAACAGCAAGATCTAGATAGGAAATGCTAGCATTAAATAGATTAATAATAATAATAATAATAATAATAATAATAATAATAGAAGTAGTAGTAGTGGTGGTGATAATACTTGTAGTGGTAATAATACTTAATGATACTTATATTGTTGTGATATAGTTGTAATTATATTGTAATACGCATATATTGTTATTAGTAGTATTAGAGATAACACTAGCTGTAGTAGTTGTAATAACAAAGGGAAAAGTAGTAATAACAATATTATTGTTTTTTGCTTTAGTAGTAGCGCACTCAAAAGTAATGTGTTAAATAACAACACATAAGTCTAACTGTTTTTATCCATTTTAACACAGCAATGAGTCAATGCAATGTATTAAAGACAAAATGTGTTTTTAACACATCTGTACTAAGTGTAGTATTTGACAGTAGTAATAGCAGTGATAGTAATAGTGATAATAATAGTAAAGTATTATTATTATTTGAGGTTTTAGTAGCAGTTAAGATGTGAAATACAAGAGGTTCTGGGGGTCTGGCACTCATAATTAACCTCTTGAACCCTTCAAATGTCTCAACATCAACATTCTGGGGGCTCTTTGAAAAGAAACTTATTATTATGTTATGCTGTCATTGTTTAGCTGCTCAGTTGCAAAAACAACTGAGTTTCCATCCATCCGTCCATCATCTAAACCGCTTATCCTTCTGGGTCATGGTGGGGTGCTGGAGCCTATCCCAGCTGTCATTGGGCGGAAGGCAGGATACACCCTGGACGGGTCGCCAGTCCACAACTGAGTTTCTGTTTTTGATATTCTTGACTAACAACTACAGATGAAGCACTGCTCTGCCTCATGGTGGCGCTGTAGCAAACTAATTCACCCAGTTGGTCCTTCATAGCCCAGCAGCTGTAACTGCCTGGGATTCCTCTGAAAAACTTTACATTATGCCACAACATATTTATGAATCTGAAAACTTTCCCATTTTCCCAAGAGTTTGGTGGAAAAAGTGAATTGTCACTCATTTCTCAAACCAAAGACAAAAGGGAAGATATATAAGATCTCAATTATTGTGTGGAAAAGCATATTACCAAACTAGAAAAGAGGATTTAAAGAAGAAGAACTAATAAACCATTTTGTTGCCACTGAAGCTAACATCAGCACTGCTATGCTGAGTGAGGAGCCAGCTATCACTAGAAATAGTGAGCCAACATGCGAATCCCTGAATACCAAGGGGTATTTTGCACACTGGTAGTAGTAGTGATAGTAGCAATTGTAATAATAGTAGTAGTTGCAAAATAAATATTATTTTTAGCTTCAGTAGTAGGAGTGATTGTGGAAATAGAGAATATGATACTAGTAATAGTAAAAGCAATATTATTGTTATTAAGACAAATATTAATAATAGTAGTAGTAATCGTAGCAAGTGTGAAAGCTGTAGCTGTAATAATAGTAGAAGTAGTAGTAATAATATTAGTAGTAATAGTAGAAGTAATATTTTTGTTGCATTCTTTTGTTTGTAGCTGTAGAAATAATAATTGTAATACAAATAGTATTATACTATTTTTGTTTCTGCTATTAGTAGTCAAATCATTATTATTATTATTATTATTATTATTATTATTATTATTATTATTATTATTATTATGAGTGGTCATTTTGAGTTTACAGTGCCTGGTTATTCTCTAGAGAGTGCATAGCATTATGGAAAAGTCAGTGACTTATAATGATTATATATTATATTACATAATTACTCACTCTGAAGAAAGTAGAGCACTGTAGTCTGTACAATTGTATATGAAATATGCGAGTTCAGAGAATTGTTTTTCTTTCTACATTAAAAGCTAGAATTAAACTTTGTGTCTCAAACAAACAAAGTCATTAGTAATTAGTGGCATTTGGCTTCAACCCCTGAGAGCTCATATTTCAACACAGTTTCATTCCAATTGGGTTGGGAAATAAGGGCTGAATTTTCACAGCCACAGTGGGACTGAAACAGCCTGACAGATTAATATTTACTATAAAAACTAATGTTATATTGGTGTTTTATTTGATGTAGGCTCTTGTGTATTTGTCTTCATTAAAAAGCAGATGTGATATTTACTTAAAGGCCACACACACACACACACACACACACACACACACAAATGCAAAACTTGAGTAGAAAGATTGTCTTTTTGTATGCAAATCGCCCTAAAATGATGACAGTGTAAATTCCACTTCTCTGCCATTCGTTGTTAAATTGCTCATAATTGCCTCCTTCGCTGCAAAGCCAATTTTATACCTAATTTCCATGGAAACCTCTTCACAGCATGATGGATAAGAGACTTTAATCAAGTTTATGGTGAGTAATAAACAGTCCAGTTAAAGTGCCATGCTCTCAGCAACCAATTAAAATAGAACAGTGTCACCAATTCATGTCCAACCAATTTCTTTTTAATTAAAAGTGGCATCAAGTGGCTGAGTGTGAACCATCATGCTCTATAATTACTAATATTACTAATGACGTGTGATACAGATCGAATAGAGGCCTCCTTACGATAGTTTTCCAAAACCATCAACACATTGGTGTCACTGCTGGTTGAGAATAGTCCACTAGCAAAAAACATCCAACTAAGTGCAGCTCTAAGGTCAGACACTGACCATTGATGAAGGGATAGATGATTGCTAACTCAGGCTGTGCATCAATAGAGCCTCTAATTGCACTCCAGCAAGGTGCAGCTACAAGAGAGGGGTTTCTGCTAAAGCGGCCAGTAAATGTATACTCCAGTATGCGCCTTTGCCTGATACACGTGCACCAGCACCACACACTCTATCATGTTAATGGCAATATATTGTTCAGAATGGACCACCACCAAAATAATATCTGGTCAACAGTGAGTTTGTGGTCAGAAACTCACCAATGTTGAATGATGTAGAGGGGGCTGATACATAGTGTGGTTACAGATGGGCTACAGCCAGTCAGTATAAACCTGGAAAATGCACCTACATGGCAAATGTACCTACGAAAATGACCAGTGAAAACGGGTGCAGGGGACTGTCAAACTGCTAAATATACACACACTGCAGATTCATACTGGATTAAAATCACTCCACAATTATTATCATCAGACTGTAAAAATTACAAACACTACAGATTCATTCTGGATTAAAATCACTCCACAATTATTACTGTCAGACTGTAAAACTACACACACTGCAGATTCATACTGGATTAAAATCACTCCACAATTATTACTGTCAGACTGTAAAACTACACACACTACAGATTCATACTGGATTAAAATCACGCCACAATTATCATCATCAGACTGTAGAAACACCACACTGCAGATTCACACTGGAGTAAAATTATGGTGATTCAAGTGAAATTGTAAACAGAAGAAATAAATAAACAGCATATCTTTGCATATAAGCATCAAAATAGACTATTGTGAGTGAAAAGAGGATGTTATGAATCTCAGACTTTTCCTTCTGCGAGTTTGTACAGCAGTGAAGCTGCAGAACACTTGCATTCTCCATCTTGGGCTTCAACACATTGGCTGTCATATGGCTGTCAACCCTCTCCAAAGTCTCTGGCAGTCCCAACACTCTCTCATTACTTGTTAATGCCCATGTGCCCCGATCTGTCATACTGTAAAAGCTTTGGCTCTCTGTAGCTGCTATTGCCGGAAAAAGAAAGCAACTGTAAAAGTGTTGCGAAGCTCCAACAACCACTTCAGCTTCTGATTCATGGGCTTCCCCTCTTCATACCCACTCTTAAAGCAGATTTGTATGTTTAATTTACAGCCACTCGTCTTAATGCATGGGATGCATTTTGTGCGATTTGGCTCATGCATGCACTTCTCAAATGATATGTGAGGGTTGACTGTAAGCATGCGATTGTGATGATCACTGATGACTCATTTTCATGATTGTATATACATTTTCTATAATGGTCAACTATATATTTCAATCTTTGGAGGCATCTGTGCTTTTAGAGCTGATTTGTTTGCTGCAGGTTGTATCACTTCTTATATGAGAATATGAAGGATGTAGGCAGTTGAAGAAGAAAACATACTCTCTTAGCCCCTTAAAATTCCATGATTATTACATAATTATTGTTCAGTAACTACAAGGACTTCAATGCAAACTGCTTGAGTTATTCTTAAGTTATAGAAGTGTGTAAAAAAATTGGGCCCTGGCATTTTAAGGGGTTAAACCATCAATGCCAAGAGAGCGTTTCATTTTTATGTCAATGGGTCTCTTTCATTATTTATTCCTTTTCACAAGTTTTGTCCAAAAAAGAAATGTCCATTTTTTTAAAAAAGTTCCCACGCAAAACTTTCAACAAATATGGACTAGTTTACCCACTTGGTAAAATTTTAAATAAAACAACACTTTCAAAATATTTTAGCATTTTCCAAACCATAGAACATAATTATGGAAGTGTAATTAATAAATGTGAAGAAAAATATTTGATGTATATATGGTGAATGGTTTTCCCAGCTTGTGTATGAAGCATCAGTTGCCTTGTTGGATATTTTAATAGTAAACAAAAATGAAAATCATAATATAATTAAAATTAATTTAAAATATTTCAATTCAAGACTGAACTGAGCGATCTCCAAAACAGTCTGAAATGACATTTTATGGCTAATGTGAAATGAACAAGTGCCAAAGTAAAGTAAATACTTAAAATGTTGTATTTTTACTTATTTTAGGCAATGCTTGTATAAAAATTATATAATGATTTTGGTTTTGAGACCTTTAGAGATCTCTTGAAACCTTTAGGCAACAATTATGAAGGAAACATGAACATTTGTCATTGTGCGTACATTTGGCTGCTCCACACAAGAACAAAATGCTTTTCCTTTCATTCAAAAACTACAGCCATACTTAGTAAACAAGGCCAAAAGCCAAATCTTTTACTTGCTGAAGTTAAAGCTAGATGATTTACTTGGATCACAACAGCAATTCACTCCTACAGAAGACCATATAGAGACACGTAGCTTGTCTTACATGGTAGATAAAGAAGACTTGAAGACTGAAGTCTTGCTGTTCATGAAGACTCATTATTTATGGCTGAAATCGCTGACATTTTTGTTCATTTGCTGGACGTCTATTCCTTGAAGAAAACCTGGTGAGTTCTGTATGGAAGACTCTCAAAATGATGACTCTATTGTCTTAACTGACACGTCTCTAAAACGAGTTTATTTGTGAACTCAGCGTGTTGTGTGTGTGATGTATGCATGTGTCAGTCACAGTGCAACAGGTGCCTACATTATATAGGCAAGTATAAAGGCTATCAGTCAAAATGCTGACTGTACATTCATCATCCTACCCTCTCTCAGCCCTGAGACCTGCACACATCCATCCAGATTAAACATGCATTGCAATTAAACCCTCATGTACATGCAAAACATGACTGAACACCATTCTGCTAAAGTCCCTGCAGTCTTTTGTCTTCTCACTTGTACAGACAGCTACAGTAGCTACTCATTACCAGTCCTCCCAGCCTGTTGCCTCGTCGTCAATTCTAACAGCCAGCCGTGCTTCACACTTACCAGCCACGACCAGGGAAACGCCGAACAAGCTCAGAAGAAGCACTACGAACGTCCCCATCCTTTAAACCATCGCAAGACATGAAATCGCATCTGCACTCGAGTGCCTGCCGTTTCTTTGACAGTCTCGTTGAGAAGCGCAGCTCTTTCAGAACGCTGGACAGCGCTAAAACGGACGCGCAGGCGGTTTCAGCACCTTAGCCAGCACAAATTTAAGAGACGCGGCGGTTTCAGCACCTTGGATAGCGCTACGAGCAGAATTGCGGCTGGTTTCAGCACCTTGGATATGGCTATGTTTGCTGTCCGCGATGCTGACCGTAGATTATAACGCGGGTAATTCGGTCCATTTTCTGCCTGATCACCTGCCTCCTGCGGTGTGATTCGAGATAAAGGGGAATTCGGATTAAAGGTAAAGCAGTTCCAGTGAGGCTGCGTATAATCTCAGCGAGTCCTCGCTTTGTTTTCAGCACCGCAGCAGAGAAACGTGCTGGCTGGACTGGAGATGGGGGGAGAGGGGGGGCATCTAATTACACACTTTCTCTCTCTCTCTCTCTCTCTCTCTCTCTGTGTGTCAACTAAGCTGAGATGAATCTGTGCTTCACTGCAAAATGACAAACATTCCGTTACGTACGTTAAAACAGGAACACTGGATGTAAAACGATAGAAAAGACAACACAACAGCAATGTTTACAGTAAACAGCTTCTGTTTTGGCTGGTCCGTTTTGTACGCACAATGAATGCAAGGAGCATTTCGCTTTAATTTGATTTAAATCGTCCTGTGGCCAATGTGAGCACGTGGGGAAGAAACTGGACACACTGACAATCAAGATTTCAATGGGATCATCACTGTCATTGTGTCCAGTTTCTGAAGCGGCATCTGCATTTCCCCACGTGCTCATCTTAGCCACAGGACGATTTTTACTGACTGAAATTGCATATCTTTTCCCAAACACGGGCCTTTTGGTTCTCCTCTCAAAGCCGCACTCAACCATTCCAGCCCAAAATGAACAATTTCAGCCCTAAATCAACACTGACGGACTGCGGGGAACCTGCATCTGAGGTGTGCTGGGAACAGCGCGAGTCATCTGACCCAAACTAAACGCATTGACTAATAATGTAAATAATACAGTTTACATTATTTTTTAGCACACGGCGATTGAGAAACATCGGATCATCGCTGATCAGCCTTCTTCATTTATTCCTCCATGCGCGAGCTCATCACATGCAATCAGGAGAAAGCGCGAGGACACTCACGCGCGCTAATCACCAATAAGGCCACTCACGCGCACTAATCAGCAGTAGCTCTCCCGACGCGCGCTAACCACCAGTAACTCTAAATCACACACACTAATCACGAGAAACTCTGATCACGCGCGCAAATACGCGCAGTAATCATCAGTAACTCAGTCGCCTGAAGCAACAATCGCGCGTGCGAATTCTCGTAACTCTCCCCACGCGCTCCTCAGCTGCTTACCTGGGCTTATTCACTCTACACCAACGCACGCGGCTCTGATTTGGAAGATAGTGGAGCGCGCTGCTGAGAGGTGCACGTGCGCGCAGGCGAGAGCGACAACTGCCTCTGGTGTCACCTTTACTATCAGCAGTGTGTGTGTGTGTGTGTGTGTGTGTGTATGTGTGTGCGCGTGTGTGTATGTGTGTGTGCGTTCGCGTGTATGTGTGCACCATTGATTTATTAAAATTGAATTGTTTCTGATTTTAAACGCAAAATATCTACAATATCTGTGGAAGGCTGTGTCCCAATAACTAGTCCACTGTCTAAATAGGCAGCATTTTAAGCAGTTATGTACATAAAGCCTGTCTTATTCCTCAGATGTCTTCAATATTCTGCCCATAAATGTATTACATATTGAAGCAACATGATCTAAGTCTGTAATCAGTGAACTTATCCCACCCCGTGAAAAAATAATCACCCTTTTTTGACCCTCCCGATGCTGCTGCTGCACAGACTAGAACTATTTCATCAGAGCCATTGCTTCACCTGTGTCCTCTTTTCTGTATTTTAATATTTTGTACTACTGTTAAACCCTTATTCTCTGCTCATATTGCTCTTCTGTTATTGTTTGCTATCCGGTGTGGAGCAGAGGAGGATGGGTTCCCCTTTTGAGTCTTGGTTCCTCTCGAGGTTTCTTCCTCTTGCTTTTAGGGAGTTTTTTCTGCCACTGTCACCATTGGTGACAATCACAGGGGCTTGGACCTGGATTTTTCTGTAAAAATTACAGTAAATTACTACCAAAACTGTATTAACAGTATGATATAGCTGGATTCTGCTGTACACTAATAAGCTGTAATTTAAAATACGGTAATCTTCTGTATTTTTACATCACACTTAAAATGATGTCAGATTGTACCAAATCCATGAATTTAGATGTGCAGATGTGCATTTAACAGACATTTTAGTTTTGCATTTAATTTATCTTAAGGTGAGTTGATTTCATAATAAATTGATGAATATGTTATTTTACTTTGAATAATTTGTGTTAAATCTTGCAAAATTCTGGCAGTAATGCAACGAAGAGCTTGATTTTTTTCATTCAAGATAGAAAGCCAGTATGTCAAGCAGCAAACTCATCTTCAATTATACACTATTTTAACCAAATATGCTTTTAACATATGATGTTTTGTTTAAATGTAATAATAACTTTGTTTATTTTGAAAGTGCTTTTCAAGGACTCAGGGTTACTTTACAATTCAAAATGTAAACAAAAACTGTAAGAAAATATCATACACACATTAACAGTAGGAGAAATACAATAAAATTGCATTGGAAAAGCACCTTTAATTAATGACTTTCAGTGACATTAACAGTGATTTTACAGTTTTTCAATTAAACTGAATGTATTTGTAACTTAGCATGCTAGCTATCTATTCAGGCTGCTGCTTCAACTTGCTAGCTCAGCTAGCAATTGGTGGTTTGTTACTATCTTATTGTCAATCACTGTTAGCATGATCGCATTAGCTAATCAGGTGTACCAGCTATGAATAATTAGCTAGAATATGAGTATTCATTTGTGCTTATAGGTTAGCTAGCTAGAATTCTTCATAGATTAACATGGTAGTGTTATTAAGTAGGTACATATTAGGTCCTGGCAGGGATTGGAGTCTCAAAAAAAGTTGCAGTTATTACCGACAACAAAACATCATGACTTTATGTGAATGGTTTCTAACTTGTAGCTCACTGAAACAAGTGGAGCATTTCTGTAGAAAGTGCATATTAATTAATACCACATTCATTATTATGATTTGAATTTGATGAACAGTTCCTGGTGTGTGGAGTTGTTTGTTAATATCAAAATAAACAGAAAAATGTGCAAACTCAAATCTGTCGAATGTAAATGGAATGTAAATGCAATTCATTGCACGACTATGTAATTAACCATGTAATTATGTAGTTATTAAAACACTCTCGCAATATGACAGTCATCACTCTACTTAGCCAGGCAGCTCACAGCCTATTGGGGACACAGCCAAAGTGTCAAACAGCCACTTTAAGGCCAGGGAGGGGAATAAAGCACTATCTAATTGTCCTTTTAGCAAACACATGCGATTTCAGTGGAGCGTGTAATTTCACAGGGTGACAGTTTGAAATTCAGCACATTGAACGCACATTAAGCAGTGAATGGATGGACGTCCAGCAGCTCCATCTATTATGCAGTGCTGCAGTTATTACCTCTAATCAAAGAGCACACCATCTGAGCTCTGTTAGGAGAAAAGGAATAAAGCACTGTCAGATGGACAATATAGGCCCTACAATGATCATTTATGTGGTCTAAAGTCTTTTTTTCCTGTCCCCCTATGGTGCAGTGACTCTGTTGTAACTGCCTGAGCAGTGTTTTGTGCCCTAAGCTTTATCCAGATGTCATTGACACCGCAGTGCTGCCGCAGTTGTTGATATGTGATGATGGCCTTCAGTAACCACAAGCATCCCCTCAATGCCTCTTTTATCAGAAGCTAAGAGTTATTACAAATAATTTGCTCTTCTATTGCTATGTAATTACATAATTAATTACATAGCTTTATTACTGTATTTTTTACATTCTGAATGTACACTTCTGACTTTTTTCTGTTTCAGTTTAAAAAGTAGACTATGCACAATAACTTCAAATTCAGATCATAATAAAATATCTCCTCTTCTATGTGTGGAGTTTAGAATTCATTAAGTACGTTGTTTCCATACTCAGTGTCCATTTTATCAGCTCCACTGACCATATAGGAGCACTTTGTAGTTCAAAGACTGTGGTCCATCTGTTTCTCTGCATACGCTGTTACCCTGTTCTTCAATGGTCAGGACCCCCACAGGATCCTCACAGAGCAGGTACTATTTGGGTGGTGGATCATTGTCAGCACTGCAGTGACACTGACGTGGTGGTGGTGTGTTAGTGTGTGTTGCGCTGGTACGAGTGGATCAGACACAGCGGTGCTGCAGGAATTTTTAAACACTGTGTCCACTCATTGTCCACTCTATTAGACACTCCTATCTTGTCAGTCCACCTTGTAGATGTAAAGTCAGAGATGATAGCTCATCTGCTGCTGCACAGTTTGTGTTGGTCATCCTCTAGTCCTTCATCACTGGTCACAGGACGCTGCCCACAGGACGCTGTTGGCTGGAGATTTTTGGTTGGTGGACTATTCTCAGTCCAGCAGTGACACTGAGGTGTTTAAAAACTCCAGCAGCACTGCTGTGTGTGATCCAATTTGTCTTGTGCAGATTGCTTACCTACATCTACACCCACTACTTCTGCTATCTACCCTGAGCCCAAGGAGGCCTGACAAAATATCATGGTTTGGACTTGGGAAAGGGTCAGGTTCAGGTTTGTTCTCCAATGAGTGATACTGGTGCTCTCTATCTCTATGGTATGTGTACAATAAAGCTAAGCTAATGGTCTAACTGTTCACCATGGATGAAATAAAAAGAAAGCCTGGCATGCAGGTGGGTTCAGATCAGGTTCATGTTTTAAATTTAGTTGTGCTCTTTGAGTACTGAGCCTTATTGGGTCGAGTGGCAGTGATTTTGAATTTTGTTAGCTAACAACTTCAGAACCACCTCAACACAGCTCCCATAGAGTA